GAGCCATCTGCCTGGTAGACAGGACAGGAGCTCCACCTACTTCTGACCATCTCAGAAGTGTGTGAACCCTGTGCAACATGGGTGTGAACCGATCCATGCACACATGTGTAGGTGAGTATGTGCACCTGTCCCCTACCCCCCAGACACACACACACCATCTCAGGCAGGGATAGACTCTGCACTAACTGAGAGATAAGCAGTGCCCTCCTGCTTCCGGATAAACTCAGACACACGCAGGGCCCCATGGGAGGATGTGATCAGAGACTCCATCTCCTGTAGTCCTGAATTCTGTGCTGAATCGTCTTCAACATGGATGTCAGGAGAACCTCTTTCTCCTGACCTTCGGAGATGTGTGTAGCCAAGGGTCACAGGGAGGATGTGGCCCAGGGCCTCCACGTCACGACGAACTGAAGCCACCTAGAGAAACCTCTGAAATGATATCATGAGCAGCACCAACCCATGTCCTGACCAGATCAGGAATATCCATGGCAGCAGTGCTCACGTGTTCTCAGGAACTCGGGCAAGTTTCGAGCGCTGTACACCCAGGCTGTGAGTGGAAAGCCCCGGATCTGACCTGCTCAGGTGAGTGAGGAAACCTGGAAAATGTAGATGTGACAGGAATCTCACTCCACATCCTGATTGAGTGGGTTGGGGGAGTGGTGCTCTTCATGATGTACGTGTAAGTAGGGTCCTCCACACACCAGGATGCAGTCTGGCATGTTTGGAGCCCTGAACAACAAGGTCATGCATATGTCCCTGCTGCCCTTGTACTGACCATCCGGGGCCCATGTTGCGCTGGGCACGATATGAATGAGAGTGGAGCCCACCCTGTCCTCATCGCTGCAGGGACTTATATACAAGGCCCCTGTAACTGCCGAATGGCAGGATCCCACCACATCTCCAACATTTCAGTTGTGTGGAATCCTGTCCAATGTGCATGTGAGGTGATAGCCTCATATACAGAAAACCTCAGGCATGAGCAGATTCCTGGAAAACACGGACGTGAACACAACTCACCATGTATTTACTTTTCATTTCTTAATGCTGCTTGTACAGTGTGCGTTTCACCTGAGATCCGCATGACGTCACTAACTAGCTGTGTATGGGGTCCTCTCTAATTTAAAAGTGAGCAGGCTGGCTGTATCCCCCTGACCTGTCATCCCTGTGCATGGTGTACATGTGGGGAACCATTTATAATGCTGGTGTGAATCAGCGGCCAAAGGTCCCAACCACATCACCTGTATGTGGGCCTCTAAAAAGAGAACATGGAGACATTCCCCGAGTCATCATCCTGTCTGGAGGGTGGGGCCCTATAAAAAGTGCATGTGAACAGAAACCCAAGTCTATGTCGTGATGTCCTCAGAACTACCTGTATTTATCCTTGTAGAATGTGGATGTACCTAGAGCTCCCCAGGTCGTGACCAACAAGACCATGCACAGAGCCCTGTACAACGTGACTGTAAGTAGAACCTCCCATACCCCACCCATGTCCTGACTATATCAGGCATATACAGAACCCTACATGATGTAAGAGACCAGAACCCTACCCTTGTTCTAAGCATTGTACATGTGCAAGCACCTCTTATCATGTGGATGTGACCAAGGAGTATTGCTGTCCTGACCAGCTCAGGCATACGTGGTACCCTGCACACTGTGATGGTGAGCAGAGCCTACCCCGTGTCCTGGCAACTTCAGCCATTGCTGGTGCCCTGACAACATGAACGTGAGCACAGCCCTTCCACACACTGACAGTCATGGGTATGTGTGGTCCTGCTACAAGGTCAGCACACCCAACATGCCCTGGACACCTGCATCATGCACGGAGCCCTCTACAGGGTAGGTGTGAGAAGAGGCCCACCATTCCCTGACCCTCTCAGGTAGATTTGGATGTGAACAGACCATCCAGTTGTTGTGCTCATCTCATGCATGTGGAGCCCTCTTCACATGGAACATGAACAGAGCAGCCCATTTCCTCAGTGCCTCAGGCATGTGTGGAACCCTCTACAAGGGAATGGTATAGTGCCCCCCAAAAAGGCCAAACAACTCAGGCAGGTGTGGAGCCCTGTACAATACTCTATGTGGGAAGTGCCTTCTAGTATGCAGAAAACCTCAGACAGGTGTAGATTTTCAAAAGGTGGGGCTGCGCATGGTGGCACATGCACATAATCCCAGCACACGGAGGATGAGGCAGGAGGATCGCTGTGAATTCAAGACCAGCCTGGCCTACATAGTGAGTTCCAGATCGGTCTCAACTACATAGTGAGACCGTCTCAAAAAAGAAACAAAAAAACTGGTGATCCTATTTTAAAATACAGAGCTTCATACAACAAGGATGTGAATATACTTGCCAACTTCTGTGATTTCAAAGCTGTGTCCTGCCCTAACAGAAGCAAAAGCACCACATCCTGAAACTCTACAAGTCCTGTACATACCTCTATAAAACGCAGTGAGAAATGTCCCACCACATCTTCAAAACTTTAGGTGTTTGCCCACCCCCTATAATGTTACTTGGGGAACCGCCCCGCCCCACGTCCACACTAGCTCATGCCTCTGTGTGGAGCTGTCTTCAACCTGAATACAGCCAAAGCTCCCAACCTGCAGACCATGACAGGTGTCTGTGGAGGAATCTACTATGTGAATGTGGAATGAAGCGCCCATACACATCTGGACCTGACTACTGAGGGACATGGGAGGATGCTCAACGTACAGGTGAGCAGAGACACCACCCACATGTCCTGACACACTCAGGCATTTGTGTAGATCTGAGTAACACGATCTAAAGAGCAGCCCTCCATGTCCTGCCAATCAAAACATGTGTAGTCCTTCTACAAACCATCTGAGGTCCAAGTGGTGCCTAGTACAACGTGGCCGAGAGTGAAGCCCCACTCTCTCCTACAGACCAGACCTTCACAATGGCCACAAGGCCAGATCTCCACCATCTCAGACCTGTGCGTCCTGCCCATGATCATGGGAGTTGATATCCTCATATACAGAAATTCTCGGGCATAAGTTGAGTTCTCTTCAAAATGGGCATGAACAAGCTCCCCATCTACCCACTTCTCACAGCATAGTGACGCCCGTAGAATGTGTTTATCACTGAGTTTCCTATTTCCTTGATAACAGGATCTGTATGAGCCCTCCATATATAACTGTGAGTGGACCTAGCCCCGTTACCTGACCTGTCATCACAACCAGTCATGTAAGGAATCTTGTACAATGTTAACTTGACCTGTACACGCCCCATGTCTTCATCACATGTGTAGGGACTTGGACAGTGTAATCATTAAACCAGCTGTCTGTTCATCTCGCTGGAAACACTACAATTTTATGAACCTAAACCCCGTGTCTGACTACCTCATGAATGAGTGATATAGGCAGGGACACTCGGCCATGTGCTGAAGACCTCAGGCATTAGTGGAGCCCTATACAATGAGAATGTGACGCAAGACTCTCCATGTCCCTACTCACAGGCATGTGTGGAGCCCTGCACGACTTTGATGTGAGGAGAACTAGGTAACAAGACCAACTCGGTTCTCTGCAGGTCTCTGTTCCAAGGAGGAAGTTATCAGAGCTGTCTATTTCCTGACCACCTCCGCAGGTAGTCAAGCCCTATTTAAACAAGGAGCTGAGCATTGCCCCACTGTTTTGACCACATGGGGCACATGGAGCCCTCTGCAATGAGGTTGTGAGCAGAGCACATCCAGCAGTTCACACACACTGTTACATGGATGGAGTAGAGCCCCGAGTATCCTGCCCATTTCAGAAAGGAGCAGAGACCTCCACAGCATGGATATGGAAGATCCCTTAATGTCGTGACCATCTTCATGGGATGGGGGTCCTTATACAACAAGAAGGTGAGGAGAGTCTACCAATGTCCTGACCCTCTCAGGCGGAGAGCTGTACAGTGAGATGTGAGCAGACACCACCGTGCCCCATCCAAGCATCCAAGTGGTCTTAGCCTTTCCCATGCTGCCCAAGGCTCCCACACATGCTGAATATACATAATATGTGGGAGCCCTCCCTGACCTGGACATGCAGAGAGCCTGCCATGTTCAGACCATCTCAGGATATATGTGAAGCTCTCTACAGTGTAAATGGGAAAGAACCAACCCATTCTTTAACTGAGCTGTGTGTGTGTGTGTGTGTGTGTGTGTGTGTGTGTGTGTATAGCACTGTCCAATGCAGAGGCCAGCAGAGCCTTGGAGTGCCAGGCCCCTATCTAACGTGTGAGCCCTCCACTAGGAGGATGTGAGTAGAGGCACCGAACCACCACATCCTGTTCCTGTTGGTCACATCCCAGCCATTGAATCCACCCCACATGGAGTTCCTTCCAACTCAAGTAGGAGCAGCTCCGGTCCCCGATGTTTGACCACGTCAGTTATGTGTCTCACTCATACATCGGGGATGGGAGCCGAGGCCCCACGCCATGCCCCCACTATCTCAGGTGTGTGAGAAGCCCACTACAGTGACGATGTCTACAGTGGCCAGTCCTGACCATCAGTGTGTGTGGTGCCTGCTAAAATGTGGATATGGGCAGAGGCCTCACGCCTTGGCTGGCTCAAGTGTGTGGAACCCTTGAGAAAGTCACTACACTCAGAATGCCCCATCCTCACCTTCTGAGCCTTTAAGTGTGTGCGAAGGCTTCTACAATGTGGATATGAGCACAGTCGTGCTACACTAGGTCCTGACCATCTCAGGTGTGCGTGAGGGACAATGCACATGTTGATGTATATGGATGTGTTCAGAGCTCCTATATCCGGGCCATCTCAGGGGTGTGTGAGTGGCTCTAAAACATGGTATGACTAGAGCCCCCTACATCCTGACATCACAGGCGTGTGTGGAGTGTTCTACACTGCAGAGAGGAGCAGAGATCTCCACTCACTGAGTTTAACCATCCCGTGTGTGGAACCCCATCTGTGATTTCAGTACACTCCACCCTATCCTCAGAGCAGTCGTGTCTGCAGCCTTCTACAACATGGATGTGAGCGGAGGCCCTGACCATCATCACATGGACTGGACTCACTACAACATAGAAGTGAGCAAAGCTCCCCCAGCCCAGATACCTAAGTTATGTGGACAGCCCTGTCAAAATGGGTGCGAACCGAGATACCAGGGCTGATAGGTCAGGCACGTGGGGGCCCCTCTGCCAGGTCACTCTCTTAAGTGGGTTGGGAAACCTCATCAAGGTGGATGTTAGCAGAGCCCCTCCTGTGCTGGCCTTCAGTAGGGACATGGGAAAGGACAGCATAAAAAAGGGAAATGTTTACACAGACAGCAAACAACCTCTGTCAACACAATTTAGCTCATGTCACAGTCTAAGCCCTGACTGCTATACTGCCCTGTGTAACAAGGCATTTTTGCATTTTTATATCACTAGGGACAAATAAAGGAAATCCATACTCATCTGGGCAAAGTCAACTCAGGACCAGAGTGAGATTCGCTTTCCAGTCACTCAGTAAATGCACAGCTCTGCGGGGCACACAGGGCCCGCGGTGGAGAAGATTATTAGAAGACTAACAGGACATGTGGCTCTGTCCAACGGGTCACAATGCATGTCACTGGTAAAACAGTCAGGCACAAATGCGGCAAAGTTACCTGCTCGAGGTGACTCCCTGTGGGAATAGGCCTGGCTGAATCTAAATCTAACAACTCCAGATTTGGTGGACTGGCACCAGCAAGTGCCACTCAGACATCTGCAGTGAAGCACTATGGCAACTTCGTATGGCAAAGCCTCCCTACCCTGAGCAGGACAGGGTCGAAACTGCTGCCTTTACTGAAAAGTACATATAAGTCGGGAAGGCTAAATAGGGTTCACCACAGTACCGAAATTTGAAATGCATCCTAATGAGATAATTGACAATGAGAAACAGGATGAAAAGGGTAAAGGTATAGGGAAATGGGAAGGATAGTGGAAAAATTAATAAGGGAAAAGAAAAAAATATGAGAAAATGAAAAAATGGAAATAACATATTTGTTAATTGGGAGGGGAGGCGGGGGTGAAGGCAGGGCAGGAACAAGGGGAAAAAATGAGAACCTAGGCCGGTCCTGTAAAGGTACAAAATCCAATAATGAATGTAACTATACTGTATACCTACAATGCACCAATAAACTCACTTGAAAGAAAAAATAAATTTAACATGCACTTGGGCTTCCCTTGCCCTTGGGCTTCCTTCCCCACTGGGAGCAGTGAAGCCTGCCGTGCAGTCGGTTCCCCAGCTCCAATTCTTCCCACTGGCGATTACTGGGAAGGAGGGTCAAGCATGTTTACTAAAAATGCACTAATTCAAAACTAGCTAGTGGCAGCTTCTCATCATAGAAGAAAAAGCAAAGCCAGTGATAAGTGCTCCCAAGGGTGTGCGGCGCCGACAAAAGGAGTGTGTACTTGCAGACAGCAGCGTGGCACAATGTGTGACCCAGTCACTTACAGCAGGAGCAATTGGGAGACCACACAATGTCCAGCCCTCAGAAAGAGTGGGACCCATAAGGGTCACAGAGCACAACTCACCAGTTTGTTCACAGACTCCTCAGGCCAGAGGAGCCATCCACAAGGGTCACACGGTAGAGCAGGCAGGTGGAGAGGCAGGATGGGACCCTAACCTCTCAGAGACACATTCTTACAAATGCTCAGGATTTCAGGGTTCAAAACACAGTAAGACTTATTTCCCGGCTTTAAATGATATGCAAACTTCTTTTGTCCCTAACTCAGGCCTATCTGAACTATCTAAATGTCTTGTGCTAGTGATTAAGGAAAAATACCAAGCTATGGGAATTTACTAGCAAAAAGCTCAAGTAACACATTAAGAAATTCCAGTTAAATATGAGGATGCAAAACTGAACCCAAGGTCAGGTGTGCAATCTTTAATTTTTACAAAATCATGCGAGACAGCTTGAGCTGGGTGGCATGGTACACATCTCTAATCCCAGCCCTTAACAGGTTGAGGCAGGAGGATTTTCAGGTTGAGGTCAGCCCTCACAGCGCTTTGGCTGGTGTATCTTCCAAATAAACACTGTGTGCATTCAAGGTGTACAGTGTGATGATTTTTTGTTTAGCTACACTGTAAACCGAGTTCCCCATCAGGTGACTTAACACATCCATCATCCCTGATGGCTGCCCCGGAGAGTGTACAGGCGCTTCAGGGATATGGGCACTTTAAACCATGCGCCTGTAAAGCCCAGCTAGATGCTGATGGCCTCCAGCCTTCTCCATTCAGACTTCTCACATGCTCTCTACAGCACCCACAGGTACAGCTACACTGAGTCTCTCACACATCACCTCAGACCTCTCTCGGCACAACCACAGCTCCTGTTCTCCTCCACAATTCTCTTCTTGTCCTTTTCTTAGCCCACCCACACTGGGCTCCTTGTGGGTGGGGCCCCAGCATCTGTTTGCTCCCTGGATATTGTAGCTCCCAAGGGGTCTCACTCCCTCACCTGCAGCGCCTCCCTACAGTTGGTCCCCGTCTTGGATTTCTCCAAGGCACTCCTCACGCGCTGTGTGATCTTAGCATCTGCCTGTCTGCTCTAGAATGCACATCAGTGTATCTCAGGTGTATCTCCTAGATTGTTCACTGCTATCAGAACAATGCCCACACACAAAAGGAACCCAAAGGGGGAGGAGTTTCTGAAGGAAAGGACGAACGCCCAAGTGAAAGGACACGCAGAACAATCTTACCATAGAAAGTAAGCCCAGAAAACCCTTAGCGGGTAATCCGACCTGCGACGCCAATCGAAACTGTAGAGAAAGACAGAAAGCAGAAATTGAGGGAGGGCGGTGCCTTTGAGCACCTGCAGTCTGGGCGTCCTCTGGTTCTCCGCACACACCTGTCATGGAATGCGCTGACTCTCTCGCTCCTTCAGCCGCCCGCGCTTTCCCAGCAAGTCCCCCAGCGCACCAAAGTAGACAGGTACGAGTTGCCTGCACCCGCGGCGCAGCCCAGTCCTGGTCTCCAGAACGCCCCGATCCTCCAGGCGCGAGCAGAGGCACCCGCACCTATCTTCACGCATCTGTGTTCCATGCGCGCGACTGGGAGCGCAGACTCTGTAGGACTCCCTGGGGGAAAGACACGCTGAAGGTACAACATCTGCTACCAGTTTCGCGAGACGGCAGGCTCCCATTGGCTGAAACTTTCCGCCTCCTTCCAACTGGCCAATGTCAAACAGAGGCCGCACCCAGTTGCTATGAGTTCTGAGCGCGAGATTGTGGCGTCACTTCCTGGTGCCATTGGTTGTTAGGGATGCTTCCGACTACCAAGACAAGGAGGCCTCACGCTGACTTATGGGTTTGTCTGTTGGCATCAAATGAAAATGGAAAAACCAGCGTGCAAAAAGACAGATGATTAAACAACAACAAGAATAACAAAAACTAGAGTGAAGGGATTGTTACTGTAGGGGTCATCACCGTTTAAAAGATCCACAGTGATAAGTGTGCCTTGACACGCACAAAGGCAGTGAAGATCGGTCACCCAGGGCACCAGCTCAGGTGAGAACAAGCCTTAGCTTCTCTTTTCCAGGTGGGGATGGGCTGTGGGGAGCCACTGAGTGTCACATCATAGCCCGACAGTGTAGACCAACCTTGTGTTATGTCCTTCAACTTTCACAAATAATAACGTTACCGGTTCCGGTGTCACGGGACTGTAACCACAGCTACTCTGGAGGATGACCTAGTAGGATGGCAAGTTCATGACACCTTGGCCAAATTACTAAAAGCCTGTGTCAAAACAATAATACAAGTAAACATAGGGTAAGGTGCAAGTAGTGTTACGGAAGGAATCAGTGAGTGACACACAGAGAGGCAGCGGAATGGAACTAAAATAACAAATTTATTCATCGATAAGAGTCGATCACACAGAAGCCGTGCCTGGAACCACCCTGATTGATGAGTACATTTGTTATTTACTTCCATTCCACTGCCTCTGTGTGTGTCACTCACTGATTCCTTCCGTAACAGTACTAGGGCTGTAGCTAGCTCATCCAGGCATGTGTGAGGCCATGAGTTCCATGCTCAGTATTGGAAAAGGAAATAATTCTGGGCTCATTCGTCCTGTGGGATGAAAGAAAGAAAAGACAAGGAAGATCTGGTGTACGGAATAAGAGGGTGCTTTAGATGTAAACTATCACAATTCCATACACACAAGGAAAAGAAGACCAGGAATATTAGCCTGACATGCAGTGCCATTTTTCACTACAGGATCAGTGCATTCTGGAAGTGGCAGGTGTGAAGCTGAAGTCCAGGACAGGGATTTTAGATGGTTTGGGGTCAGTGGGTGGAGAATGGGCCTTACATTTGGCTTTGGACTGGGGAAAGCAGACAAGTATGGATCCATTTAACGTGAAGTAGACTTGACACTGTGGATCTTAAAATTCCTCTCGCTCTCTAAAATTACAGTTGTATGAGTCAAAATGTATTAGTGGCACCAGTAGCCAGCTGGGAGAAGAAAGGCAAGCTCTAGAAGGTGATATCTCAGGGCCCCAATTGTAAGTGCTTATAGATTATATTCAGGAGTCCACAGAAATTAGCTGTGTACCTGAGAAGACAAAACTATTTTTGAGACAAAAATCTGACTGTGGAGTCCATGTGGGCTGCGAACTCAATATGTTGCCTAGACTGGCTTCATATTCAAGATCCTCCTGCCTCATCCTCTCAAGGGCAAAAAATATGGGTATGGACCACCGCACTTGCTGAAGACAATACTGTCAAAAGTCAAGAAAAATAACTTAGCTTTTCATTGCCCAGTGGGTTGCTAACATACACTGAAACACTATGACATCATAGATAATGAGGGGCAGCTCAGTCACCTGTCAATAGGAGGTCCAATGGTTGTCTCAGTCTCTGCAGGGCTGGTGCCACACGGCTCTCCTTGCATGGCAGGTGAGCCTGCACAGCAGAAGACCTGGATTCCCTCCATAGCCTGGGGTCTCTTGCTGTTTGCTGTGTACCTCTCTCACACCTTGGGTTTTCCAAGGTCAGGACACCCCGCATTTCAGATACAATGTGCTGCAGAGCTTTCTCTTGCTGTGTGCCTGCCTCAGAACTCAAAATCAGCTAGATGTGGTGGTGCATAACTGTCAGTCAAGCTGAGGCAGGAGGATGGCAAATTCAAGGCCAGGGTGGAAAACTCAGCAAGAACTCTTATCTGCTGAGGTGCAATCCACCAGCCCCTGGGCTCAATCCCTAGTATTGCAATCACCCAACCAGTTAGGTTTCCAAGATACTCAATCAATTAGTGGTCATATAGATGACATAGGTGACTCCAAATCCACAGGCCTCAACCAAGGGAGGCAACCCACCTCCTTAGTGGTAAATGAATTTACTTGTTTTCCATTTCTGTGTTGCAAAGGAAACCAAACTTTAAGAACCCAGGCCACTACATTGGCTCACTCTTGGGTCAGGACTTGTGGAAGTCTGAGCTGTACGCCTCTATCTCTCCACCT